ATATATATTAAAATTTAATAATTAACTATTAGTGAATATTTACTAGTGAACTTTTCCATTGCAAGTATTGATAGCAATTAAGCTCATTTACGCTTATTGTCTGTATTTGATTGCGATTTTCAAGTATACGGAGTTGTTGTAGGGTTGTATAATATTAGAAAAAGTTTTTGCTTATGCAATTTTGTGTGAATTTGTTGAATATTTCATTTAAATCTGACAAACGGTTTAAAAGTTACAAGATATATAATAAATAACTACACAATTCTTGTAATTAAGCTCATTCCATGCTCATTGTCTGTATTCAAGTGCGATTTTAAAGTACACCAAGTTGCGGTAGGATTATATAATATTAGAAAAAGTTTTTGTTTGTTTAATTTTTTATATATTTGTTGAATATTGCATTTAAATCTGCCAAACGGTTTAAAAGTTACAAGATATATAATATATAAGTACACAATTTTTGTAATTAAGCTCATTTATACTCATTGCATTCGAGTGTGATTTTAAAGTATACCGAGTTGGTGTAGAGCTATATAATATTAGAAAAAGTTTTTGTATATGCAATTTTGTGTAAATGTGTTGAATATTTGATTCAAATCTGACACACGGTTTAGAAGTTACAAGATCTATAATATATAAGTACACAATTTTTGTAATTGAGCTCATTTATACTCATTGTATTCGTGTGCGACTTTAAAGTATACAGAGTTGTTGTAGGGTTCTATAATATTAGACAAAGTTTAGGGTTTTGCCTTTTTGTATATATTTGTTGAATATTTGATTCAAATCTGACACATGGTTTAGAAGTTACAAGAGATATAATAAGTGCACAATTTTGCAATAAAGCTCTTTCATACTCATTGTATTCGAGTTCAATTTTAAAGTATACCGAGTTGCTGTAGGGTTGTATAATATCAGAAAAAGTTTTGTTTATGCAATTTTGTGTGAATTTGTTGAATAATTCATTCATATTTGACAAACGGTTTTGTAATTAAGCTTATTCATACTCTAGTATTCGAATGCAATTTTAAATATTTTATTGTCTTTATTTAATTGCGATTTTAAAGTATACTGAGTTGCTGTAGGGTTGTATAATATTAGAAAAAGTTTTTGTTTATGCAATTTTGTATACATTTGTTGAATATTTGATTCAAATCTGACAAACGGTTTAGAAGTTACAAGAGATGTAATAACTAAGTGCACAATTTTGCAATAAAGCTCATTCTTATACTCATTGTATTCGAGTTCAATTTTAAAGTATACTGAGTTGCTGTAGGGTTGTATAATATTAGAAAAAGTTTTTGTTTATGAAATTTCATATAAATATGTTGAATATTTCATTCAAATCCGACAAACGGTTTAAAAGTTACAAGAGATATAATAAATGAATGCATAATCCAGATGCAACACTACACCAAAGCTCACTTATGTAAATTGTTAGTATCTGTATCGATTTTAAAGTACACCGAGTTGGTTAGGTACTTATAATATTAGAAAAAAATATAGTTCATGTAATTTTCCACATATTTGTCATATATTTCATTTAAATCGCACAAACGGTTTAAAAGTTACAACAGACACAATAAATAAATGCATTATTTTATCACCGACATTTAAATAAATTATTTATTACGTTTAACTCTAATTTATTTGAACTTCCAGCTAACAATTTAGATTTAATTTAATCTCGTACGCCACTGTGTTAATTCTCTGCAAAATCCTTCGAATGCAAATGCAATTATTGACATCTGGGAAATGCAATTTAGTGCAATTTGAAATTATTAAATTGCATATACTTTCATTTAAAATGGTAAAAGGAAAATTATGTAGGTGGAATTATATAAATATATCAGTGAGTTTATAATTAAAATTATATGCATGTTAAAATACCTTTGTGGTGTAAAATTTAATTTAAATTTAATTTTACACCATCTATAAATAATTTGCAATTTATTTTTTATCCAATACAATATAATTTTTATTTAATATTCAATTTATTATTATTGCATTTAATTATTTCTTTATCAATTTATTTTTAAATCCATCTCTGTTTTTCAATTTTCGTTCGAAAAGCAATTTTGTCGACACGAATTCTTATGTCGTTAAATTAGATCGACATTATTAGATTAATTATTCGGAAAGTAGGATCAAAATTTAGGAATTTTTCACCCTGGTCTCCCCTATTTTGTAATTGATTGATGATTGATGAGCAGAACAAGCCTAAAAGTTCCCTAAACGACATCAAGATGAAAAATTGATGGAAGTTTAATTTTTGTAATGGCTTTAATATTGGAAACGATTTTTGGGTATACCGAGTTGTTGTAGGATTTTTTGTTGTCAGAAAAAGTTTTAGATGGTTTAATTTACAACAAATTTGTCTAATACATTAGTAACTTACGACAAATAGTTTAAAAGTTATGTATAATTTACCAAAACAGAGCACTTTTCTTACTTACAAATGTCAACAAATTAGGAAAGCTCATAAGTTTGTCGTTTAAAAGTATACCGAGTTGCTTTAGAGATTTCTGTTGTTAAGAAAAGTTGTAGATTATTTAATTTACAATATTTTTGATAAAAAAATCATTTGCTTATAACAAATAGTTCAAAAGTTATGAATAATTTACCAAACCAGTGCACTTTTCTTACTTACAAATGTTCAACGAATTACGAAAGCTCATAAGTTTGATGTATAAAAGTATACCGATTTGCTTTAGGGTTTGTTGTTGTTGAGAAAAGTTGTGAATTATTCAATTTACAATATTTTTGTTAAAAAAATTATATGCCTATAACAAATAGTTCAAAAGTTATAAATGATTTACGAAACCAGTGCACTTTTCTTACTTACAAATGTTCGACAAATTACGAAAGCTCATAAGTTTGGCGTTTAAATTATACCGAGTTGCTTTAGGGTTTGCTGTTGTTAAGAAAAGTTGTAGATTATTGAATTCACAATAATTTTGTTAAAGAAATTATTTGCTTATAACAAATGGTTCAAAAGTTATAAATAATTTACCAAACAAATGCACCATAATGCATTACTAGTGTTAATTTACAAGGAATATTGAACATAAGTGGTTTTTCAATTGTTGTTTTAGAGTATACCGAGTTGCTGTAGAGTCCTTATATATTAGAAAAAGTCGTAGATTATTAAATTTCAAACAAATTTGTCGTACACATTATTCATCTATCACAAATAGTTTAAAAGTTATGAATAATTTACCAAACAAATACACCATAATTCATTACTAGTGTTGATTTACAAGGAATATTATTCAAAGTGATTTTTCAATTGTTGTTTTAGAGTATACCGAGTTGATTTGGGGTTTTTGTATGTTAGAAAAAAATTAGATAATTGATTTTTAAACAAATTTGTCTAATATATTATTTATATAAATCAATTCGTGTAAATTCTGTGAACGATAACAACAAAAAATGTACTCTTATGCAAATGGTCTTATTTAAATTGCCATTTTCAAGTATACCATATTCTTGTGATATTTTATTAAATATAACTTTTATATATTATCTATAAATAGTATAAATCACAAATTATTATTTCAGTTTGTAAAAACCAATAATAATTTTTATAACTTTATGGGACATTTATTTTAAATTAAATTTCTTTTGAAAATTTTTTGTTTAGATAAAAAGTTCACAATAGAAAAATATATTCGTAAATCTGTACAAAACCGCAACATTTATATTTTTATTTTTACCTTGTATTTTATTTTTGTAGATATTTCTTTGAACATGCAATGATAATTAAAAAACTACAATTTTATGCAAAAGTTTATGTAAATTTCATTTATCTAAAATAAGTTTTTTGTGTCTCCACCCGGAAAAGAATTTTGTTCGGAAATCTAAAATAAAAATAAAATTGCAAATAGTAACATTCGTATATAAAATAATTGTTTGTGATTTAATGCAAAACCGCAGAAGAAAAAACTTGGAAAATGGAAATGAATAATAATATATATATATATATATATATATATACATACTTAGATTTTTACATATATTTTCTGAATTAAAATAAATTATTCCTCATGTTTTTATTTCGGCGAACAAAATAAAGATTCTTCTCGGATTATTTTTAACGATGATGCATTTTTTATTTTATTAGAGAAGAGTTATAAAGATAAATCGTGCAGAAACATGAAAATATATCAAAAATGGCATAATAATTATAAATTTAGACTTCATAATATATTTTATATTTAGAGACAACGTTGTAGTAATAAAGCATAATATTTTATCTGGTTGATAATTCATGAAATACAATATCTTTTGTATTATATCATGTTTTTGTTCTAAATTCGACGATAATAAATTATGACCGGTCATAATTTATATTTGAGTGGATTTAGGAGATAATATTATGCTAAAATATATTTTTTACTTATATATATATATATATATATATATATTTACATACTTGCATTTTTTTGCCTGAAATACTATGTTTCATTTTTTATTTTTTACTTTTTTAGATTAGTTTCCAATTTAGTTTTACGTTTTTCTAAGACAAATATTTTACGGAAAAATGTAGAAGATATCAAATAAAATATATAAAATAGCAAAATCTCATTTCATTATACGTTTAAAGATCCAAGAAGCATTTTAGAATGAAAATTCGATTTTGCGAACAAAACTCGTTAAAGTTTTTTTTACTCTTTTCAATCTTGACGTTCTTTACGATGATTAAATTTTTTAGAAAATTACCATGTCCAAAAGCAATTGTAATAATTTCACTATTTTATACTTAAATGTGTATACTTTGATAAAAAATTATAAAAAACACAAATTTGTTCTGGAAATAATTATTAAAAATTATTAAACAGAGGAAAATAAAATCATTAATAAAAAATAATTCTTTACGAATTTTTTTTTATTAAAATTACACCTGTCTTTTGTGTCATTGTTGTTATAATGCTAGATAATTTTTTCAAAAATATTTTAATTTTTTTGCATATTTTTTAAATTTTTTTTCTTTTTTCCAGTGGCAGTGGTAGCCGGTTTTTTCGTCTGTTGGGCCCCCTTTCACGCCCAAAGATTATTAGCAATTTATTACGATGTTTCAAGTGGACCCACAGTGGTGGCGATTTATAAAATTTTAACATATGTTTCGGGGGTCCTTTATTATGCCTCTACTTGTGTGAATCCGCTCCTGTACAACATTATGAGCAACAAATTCAGGGAAGCATTCAAGGTAAGGGTAATAGATTAATGCATGAGTTCTACAATTTTTTTATAAAAAATTTAGAAGAGATATGATAGTAAAATTTTGTAGGCACAATTTTATAAGTGTTATGGATACACAGAAAAAAATTCGTGGATTTGTTGCAAATATTTGATTTATTATGATTTTGTTCACCAAAATCGGTCAATTTCGTTTTTGCTTACTAACTAAGTATAATAGACTTATGCACGATTTATACAATTTTTTTTTAAAAATATAAACGAGATATGATAACAAAATTATGTGTGCACATTTTTACAACTGTAATAAATACACAGAAAAAAAATTGTGTACTTTCACCAAGTATTTGATTTGTTATGAATTTTTTCTCTAAAATCGGTCTATTTCATTTTTGCACCCTAACTAAGGATAATAGACTTAGGCACGACTTCTACAAATTTTTATAAAAAATGTAAAAGAGATATTATAGTAAAATTTTGTGTGTATATTTTAACAACTGTAATAGATACACAGAAAAAAAATCATGGAGTTCTATCAAATATTTGATTTATTATGAATTTTTTCTTCAAAATCGGTCTATTTCATTTTTGCACCTTAACTAAGGATAATAGTCTTATGCACAAATTCTGAATTTTTTTATAAAAAATGTAGACAAAATATGATAACAAAATTGTGTGTGCATATTTTTACAACTGTAATAGATACACAGAAAAAAAATCGTGGACTTTTATCAAGTATTTGATCAAGTATTTGATTTATTATGAATTTTTTCTCCAAAATCGGTATATTTCACTTTTGCACCCTAACCAAAGATAATAGACCTATACACAATTTTTACACTTTTTTATAAAAAAATGTAAAAGAGATATGATAACAAAATGTTGTGTGCATATTTTTACGACTGTAATAGATACACAGAAAAAAAATCGTGGACTTTTATCAAGTATTTGATTTATTACGAATTTTTTCTCCAAAATCGTTCTATTTAATTTTTGCGCACTATCTAAGTCTAAAAGACTTATGCACGATTTTTACAATTTTTTATAAAAAATTTGAAAGAGATATGATACCAAAATTTTGTGTGCATTTTTTTACAACTGTAATAGATACACAGAAAAAAATTCGAGGACTTTCACCAAGTATTTGATTTATTGTGAATTTTTTCTCTAAAATCGGGCTATTGCATTTTTGCACCTTAACTAAGGATAATAGACTTATGCACGAATTTTATAATTTTTTATATTAAATATAAAAGAGATATGATGACAAAATTTTGTGTGCACATTTTTACAACTATAGTAGATACACAGAAAAAAATTTGTGGACTTCTATCAAGTATTTGATTTATTATGAATTTTTTCTCCAAAATCGGTCTATTTCATTTTTGCACCCTAACTAAGGATAATAGACTTATGCACGATTTCTACATTTTTTTTAGAAAAAATGCAAGAGAGTTATGAAAGCCAAATTTTGTGTGCACATTTTGAAAACTGTAATAGATACACAGAAAAAAATGTGAGCTTTCACCAAGTATTTGATTTATTACGAATTTTTTCTTTAAAATCGGTCTATTTCATTTTTGCACCTTAACTAAAGATAATAGACTTATGCACGATTTATACAATTTTTTATCAAAAATATAAAAGAGATATGACAGTAAAATTTTATGTGCACATTTTTACAACTGTAATAGATACACAGAAAAAAAATTGTAAACTTTTACCAAGTATTTGATTTATTATGAATTTTTTTTCCAAAATCGGTATATTTCATTTTTGCAACCTAACTAAGGATAGTAGACTTATGCACGAGTTCTACAATTTTTTATAAAAAATGTAAAAGAAATATTATAACAAAATTTTATGTGCACGTTTTTACAACTGTAACAGATACACAGAAAAAAAATCATAGACTTTTACCAAGTATTGAAATTATTATGAATTTTTTTCTCAAACATTGCACCATCAAGATCGTTTCCAACTCGATGCAATAATTTTGCACATAGAAACAATAAATTTCTTTATGATTTTCTCCCAGAAATATTTCTAAATTTCACTAATTAAAAATTCGCAATAATCTTTCCATTTGTTCAAAACTTTTTGCAAAAACAACTCTTGCAATTATAAATGCACAAAGTGCATTTTCTTCTGGGATTATTTAGATGCAACACAAAGCAAAGGAATAATAAATAAGATGCAATATTTGCAAGGAAAGTTAATTAATACTTGAATAATTTATTGCAAAGAGGATTATTATATTATTTTCTGGGAAAAAGTGATTAAAATTTTAGAGACAAATTAAAGTCCTACGCGGTATATGAGTATAAATTACATTTCTATTTTTAAAATGTAATTTATTCTATTTTAAAATTTTATTTAACACCTGTGTGATATTTTTGGCAAATTTTTATGCATACTTTAATTTTGCAATCAAAATTTTTATATATTTTAGGCTAAAAATGCATTTAAATAACCCTACAACAATTTCTATATTTGCATAAGAAATGTATGGAAATTTTAGAGTGTGAATTTTTGTGCATTTTTTGGGATTTTAAGTTTGTTTTTTGAAATAAAACTATGAGTATTTTTGTGGTTAATTAAAATAACTGTAGCAAGGTTTATGTAAAAAAAATTCGTTAGAATTACGTTTTTTTTTTTTTTTTTGATAAATGGTAAAAATTTGCTAAGTATGGTGTTCAAAATGAAGTTCCAAATATATTTATTTTAGAGGAGCTTTTAGTAGAGGAGTTTTTTTTAGTAAAAAATTAATAGTGAATTTATCAATGCGTATATGATGATGAAATTCTGCACAATTGATTATTATCGTTGTAACAATATTTGTGCAAAATTTTGTTTTTATATCTTGCTTACATTTTTCACAAAAAAATTATGAAATTTGTATATATGGATTTAGTGGTGCAAAATTACAGGTGCACTTTTTGAGTAAAAATTTATTTATAAATTTGTTAGAAAATTTATGTTGATGAAATTTTGCAAAAATATTTAGAATAGTTGTAGCAAAGTCTGTGTCAAATGTCACCGTTATATCTAGCCTAGTTTTTACACAAAAAATATTAAAAATATTCTGCTAAATTTTGTTAGGTTTGAAATTAACAACGCGCTTTCAAAGGAAAAAAATAATTTGTAATTCCGCAATTGCAAAAAAACAGTAAATTTTTTTTGTGAATATTCACAATAGTTGTGACAATATTTGTGCTAAATTTCGTTAGTTAGATTTTATACAAAAAAATATTAAAACTTTGCATGTACATTTGGTTCTTTGATATGGAATTAATTACGATTTTTCAAGGAAAAAATTAATAAGAACTTAGCAGCAGATACAAAAAAGATCCAGTAAATAAATCATACTTCATTTGAAATATTTTTGTAAAATTAAAAGAGTTTCTATTTGAAATTACACGAAGAACTATTTTTTCAAGCCTTTGATATTCTTTTTGCAAGAGAAAGCACTTTATGAAGGTACATCAATTGTAAAAGTTTTTAATTAAAACTAGAAAGTATTAATAATATTAGCTGGAGGGCATTTTATGAAGCACAAGTCATGTATATATATATATATATATATATATATATATATATATATATATATATATATATTTATCCTATCATCGTTTGATAAAGTGTCTCCATAATTATTAGGACATCAAGCAAATTGATATATTATGCTCGAACATTTATGGACATATATATTTCATATTTTTTCACAAAAGATCTAGGCTAGTTATGACAATAAAATTTAGCACAAATTTTACTACAACTATCTAGAGTTCATATAAGAAGTTTCAATGACTATCTGCAATTTCCTGAATTTAAATTTTTTTTTTCTCTGGAAGTGCACTTTTAATTTCATACCAATGTACAAAATTAATATGCTCGAATTTTAATATTTTTTGCAAAAAAATTAGACTAGCTATACGTGTAAAATTAAACATAAATATTGCTGCAGATATTTTAAAATAATTTATAAATAATTTTGTCAATATTTTGAATTTTATATACTTATCATTAATTTATTTCTCTATAAGCGTACTATGAATTTTATATAAGAGTACAAAAAATTTACATACACATATTTTGATAATTTTTTGTAATAAATTCAAGTTTTATATGAGAATAAAATTTAACACAGACGTTGCTTACAACTATAGTAATTAATTACAAAAAATTTCATCAAATTTTGGCTATAGACTATTTTTAAATTAATTTTTTCCTCTACATGTGCGCTATGAATTTCTTGCACCAAAAATACATTTAATATTTTATTTTAGTTACTTTTTCTTGTTTTTTTGCACTAAATTGCAAGTTTTATCCATTTCCAGACAAAGTGCAGAAAAGATCAATTGCATTTCTGTAAAATGTATTGCAATTTTCTTGTCCCGTGTATTTTTAACCAAGAAAAATAAAAGAAATCTTTCAGAAAAACGTAATTACAGTTTAAATTAAACTCTGAACATAAAATTTTCTAAACTAAAAAATCCTTAAAGTTTCAGAAATTTTTGTCCATCACAATTTTATTTTATCAAATATTGTGTCAGAAAACGTTGTCTTATTCATCATTCAAGTTTTGAATTTTATTTTGAAATAAAAATGAAGACGTTGTCATATCAAAGTAAGAAAATAATATGTTTATTCGAATTCAATTTTCGAATAGTTGAAAGCAAATGCATGTAGTTTCACAAAAAGAAGCTTTTGGAAAATGAAATTTATTTCAAAAGAATTATTTGCACGTGCGTATACTAACATAGTATTCAATAAAACTATAAAACATACATTTTGCCCAAGAATTTAATTGTAATAAAAATGTACACTAGTACGAGCTTTTTTTTAGAAGGCATATATTTTGTATTACATTATAGCCGTTGATTACATTTTTTAAAATTTACGTTCATATTGCTAAAATTTGTTATACTATATTTGTTATATATATATATATATTATATTATATATCGTTAAAAAGCTCATAAAATTATCTATTAATCTGTATATAACAATTCACTACGTTTAGAAAAAAATTATTTACAAAATATTTCTAAACTTTCAAGTGTCATTTTATATTAGTTTTATCGTTTG